GTTTTAATATCCTCAAGTATTGCACCAATTTCAACAACTGATGCAACAACCACAACTCTGTCTGACAAAACAAAAATCATTGATGCTACAATTTTGACTTCCACAACCACCCCTCCCACATCTTCGACTGTAGCACCAATGTTAACAACAGCCAATGAATCAACCACAACTCTGCCTGACACCACAACTACTACTGATGCAACAACAACTTTGGATTCCACAACCACCCCTCTAATGTCAACCACTGATGCATCAACCACAACTCTGTCTGAAACCACAACAACTACTGATGCAACAATTTTGGCTTCTACAATGACCGCTCCAAAATCCTTAACTTCTGCACAAATGTCAACAACTGATGCAGCAACCACAACTATACCTGACACCACAACAACTACTGATGCAAAAACATCTCTGGCTACCTCAACCTCCTTTCCAACACCCCCAACTGTGACACCAGCGGCAACAATATCTGATGCAGCAACTAACACTCTGTCACACACCACAACAACTACTGAGGCAACAACAACTTTGGATTCCACAACCACCCCTCTAATGTCAACCACTGATGCATCAACCACAACTCTGTCTGATACCAAAACTACTACTGATGCAACAACAACTTTGGCTTCAACAACCATCCCTCCAACATCCTCAGCTACAGTACCAATGTTGACAAATGATGGAATTACATCAACTATGCTTGACTATTCAACAACTATTGATTCAACAAGAACTTTAGCTACCACAACAACACTTTCAACATCTTCAACTGTGGCACAAATGTCAACAACAACTAATGAAGAAACAACAACTATGTCTGACACCACTACATCTACTGATGCAACAACAACTTTGGATTCCACAACCACCCCTCTAATGTCAACCATTGATGCATCAACCACAACTCTGTCTGAAACCACAACAACTACTGATGCAACAACAACTTTGGATTCCACAACCACCCCTCTAATGTCAACCACTGATGCATCAACTACAACTCTGTCTGACACCACAACAACTACTGATGCAACAATTTTTGCTTCCTCAACCAGGCCTCCAAAATCCTCAACTATAGCACCAACGTCAACAACTCATGCAGCAACCACAACTATACCTGGCAGCACAACAACTACTGATGCAACAACAACTTTGGATTCCACAACTACCCCTCTAATGTCAACCACTGATGCATCAACCACAACTCTGTCTGAAACCACAACTATACCTGACAGCACAACAACTACTGATGCAACAATTTTGACTTCCTCAACCACACATCCAAAATCCTCAACTATAGCACCAACGTCAACAACTGATTCAGCAACCACAACTATACCTGACACCACAACAGCTATTGATACAATTACAGCTTTGGCTTTGACAAACACCGTTTTAATATCCTCAAGTATTGCACCAATTTCAACAACTGATGCAGCAACCACAACTATACCTGACACCACAACAGCTATTGATACAATTACAGCTTTGGCTTTGACAAACACCGTTTTAATATCCTCAAGTATTGCACCAATTTCAACAACTGATGCAGCAACCACAACTATACCTGACACCACAACAGCTATTGATACAATTACAGCTTTGGCTTTGACAAACACCGTTTTAATATCCTCAAGTATTGCACCAATTTCAACAACTGATGCAGCAACCACAACTATACCTGACACCACAACAGCTATTGATACAATTACAGCTTTGGCTTTGACAAACACCGTTTTAATATCCTCAAGTATTGCACCAATTTCAACAACTGATGCAGCAACCACAACTATACCTGACACCACAACAACTACTGATGCAAAAACATCTCTGGCTACCTCAACCTCCTTTCCAACACCCCCAACTGTGACACCAGCGGCAACAATATCTGATGCAGCAACTAACACTCTGTCACACACCACAACAACTACTGAGGCAACAACAACTTTGGATTCCACAACCACCCCTCTAATGTCAACGACAGATGCATCAACCACAACTCTGTCTGACATCAAAACAACTACTGATGCAACAATTTTTGCTTCCACAACCACCCTTCCAAAATCCTTAACTATAGCACCAATGTCAACAACTGATGCAGCAACCACAACTATACCTGACACCACAACAACTACTGATGCAAAAACATCTCTGGCTACCTCAACCTCCTTTCCAACACCCCCAACTGTGACACCAGCGGCAACAATATCTGATGCAGCAACTAACACTCTGTCACACACCACAACAACTACTGAGGCAACAACAACTTTGGATTCCACAACCACCCCTCTAATGTCAAC